CTCAAGCAATCTTCTTGCTTCAGCCTCTTAAATAGCTGGGACTACAGATGTCTGCCACAAGGCTGGCTAATATTATTTTTTATTTATTTTTTTGGCCACAGTTTGGGCAGGGCCAGGTTCAAACCCGCCACCCTCAGTATATGGGGCTGGCATCCTACTCACTGAGCCACAGGTGCCGCCCTAGTTTTATTTTTAGTAGAGGCAGAGTCTCACTCTTGCTCAGGCTGGTCTCAAACTCCTGAGCTCAAGCAATCCACCTGCTTTAGCACTCCCTCCTAGAGTGCTAGGATTACAGGCATAAGCCACCACTCCTGGCCATTTACTTCTTGAAGAATGTTTTATAGATAATCTTAGCATTAAAAAAAAAAGTGGTTACTCCGTGACTGCAAAGCAAATGTGGATGGAACACCACAACATGTATTGGTTGAAATTTTAGGCTCTTAATGCCATGTTAAAACATTATATTTCCCAAGACCATGGTCCAAAAAGAACAATCATGACACACTCTATTCTTCAGTTTTATGAAGCATATACCTGCTTCCCTAGGTATCAGCAATCAGCACATAGCACACAGGTTTCTTAACGCTGAATGGGAAGATCACTTGGCTCCCGAGTCTCTCTCTTATACATGTAAGACTGTCACGGAATACATTCTTCTATTTTTTAGTAAACCGCCACTTGCACTAAATGGAATACATTCTTAAAATGAACATTTGTGTGTCACAGTTCCATAGTGTCAAGTCTTGTTTTGAGGATGAGTCTTTGCAAAGACAAAGTTCTTGCCAGAATGAACAGGGAATGTTAAGTCAGCTAAGTGTGTCACGCCAGGGCTGCTTTGACTTTGGTTTGTCACTGATGCTGGGAGGGTGATTCTTCCCATGCTGTAGTACAGGGTTGTGAGTAAAGGTCTGTCGTAAGGGACCTGATGGAAGAAGAGGAAACATCTCAATAAACAAAGGAAAGGAAGAAAGAAAAGACAGAATTTAACCTGAAAGGATTATTTACCCCTGGCCGCAAGCTCCAAGTGATTCTGCATGCGTTGCTGACGCTCTTGAGCCCTATGTGCCATTTCAGCATTCTTCCAGCCTGTGTAAAGAGCAAGTCAGTTAGTCCCATCCTTTTTTAAATTTTTTTTTGAGACAATCTCACTATTCACCCTCTGTAGAGGGCTGTAGCATCACAGCTCACTGCAACCTCAGACTCTTGGGCTCAAGCGATACTTTTGCCTCAGTTTCCCAAGTAAGTAGCTGGGACTACAGGCACCTGCCACAATGCCTGGCTATTTTTTTGTTGTAGTTGTCATTGTGTTTAGCAGGCCTGGGTCAGGTTTGAAACCACCTGCCCTAGTGTATGTGGCTGGCAACCTAACCACTAAGCTACGGGCACCGAGCTTCCTTTTACTTTATTTTTTTCAGACAGTGTCTTACTCTGTCACACTGGCTAGAGTACAATGATATCATCACAGCTCACTGTAGCCTCAAATTCCTGGGCTCAAGCAATCCTCCTCCATTAGCCTCCTGAGTAGCTATTTTTCTCTTTTTAGTAGAAAAATACAAAAGTATTGCTCACACTGGTCTTGAACTCTTGAGCTCAAGCAATCTTCCTAGAATGCTAGGATTACAGGTGCAGGCCACCAGTCCCAGCTATCATCCCTATTTTTAGATACCCTCTCCAGCCCTGTTTTACATAAGAAAAACCTGAATCTTTACCTCTTTTGAAGCTCTTTATGAAGCCTTCTCGTGGAGGTAATTTGTCGGGGTCATGTATAACACGTGGAGGAATTTTAAGTATAGTACGCACAGCTGGAATCCGGAGGCAAGCCACTTGGCCCAGGGAAAACAGATTAGAGGAGAGCCAATACATAAATACTGCCTGGGTGAGAATACAGAGAAGGTGGTTCAGAAGCTGCATCTCCAGTCAGCTGGCTTGTAAGTGGCTGGGCTAGGTGGAAGGCCTTGGAACCAGATCCTAAGCCATTACCTACCGTGGGGAAATGGATGGTTATGGGCAAGACTACCAGGGGCATTACTCTGATCACATTTCTCATCCACTGAAGGTCAGAACTCTGCACCCCTGTCTCAGCACCTAGCTGCCAAAAAAAGGTAGGAAGTGATGGGCACAGGAAAAGAGCAGTGAAAACACACCGATTTTAGTGACTCTTGTCTCTCATCTCTTACCCATCAACTCTTATTTCTCCAGGAAGTAAAGGATGACCATCCTGCACAACTGCTTTATCCTTCCCTCCCACTTTATTAAAGTAAAGTAAAATATACACTTTATTATGTATAGGCCTGGCACTTGGCTAACTTGGGCTTACCTCAAGGACACCCCACATTGTAGCAGTAACTACCAGTGGTAACATGTAGGTGGGATCAGATATTGTGAGATCCTGGAACCACCAGAGGCCACCTGTCTGCAGGCTGGGCACAGGAAGGTTGGCCATCTCTCTCAAAGCAATGAAGAAGGAGATGAACACTGGGGCCTATTACAGAGGATAAAAACTGTCAGCATGCCTTACCAAAGGGGACATTTTCATAGCTCCATTACTAAAAGCCATGGTAATAAGTAATATCACCACTACTTACTTTTTTTTTTTTGAATCGAGGCCACAGGAAACACAGAGGAGGAAATTTAATGGGTTCAGGATGAAATAAGAGGGGAAATGCTTTTGCTCACCTGAGTCAGAGGTAGAATGAGAGGTCTAAAGAGTTTGATATCATGCTTTTTCTGGTAAAGTGCCATCTCTGAGGAGGCCCTGTAAACTGTGGGGTGAGGAGAAATTAGTTGGACTGTCAGTTATGGCACACACCCATCCTCATCACCTGGACCACGAAATTTCTTTTTTCTTTTTTTTTTCTTTTTGAGACAGAGTTTCACTATGTCACCCTCAGTACAGTGCCATGCTGTAACAGCTCATAGCAACCTCAAACTCTTGGGCTTAAGTGATTCTCTTGCCTCAGCCTCCCAAGTAGCTGGGACTGCAGGCGCCCGCCACAACGCCTGGCTATTTTTTGTTGTGGTTGTCATTGTTGTCCAGCTGGCTTGGGCTGGGTTCGAACCTGTCAGCCTTGGTGTATGTGGCTGGCGCCGCAACCACTGTACTGGGGGCACCGAGCCTGGCCCATGAAATTTCTAAATCACCCTGGTCAGTCCCTGGAAGTATTAGGCCCAAGAAGCAGATAAGCTTTAGAACTTGCCCAGCTACAATCCCTGATTTAGGTTGTTCCTTTCCCTAACCAGAATGTCAAGAAAAGTGCAAATGTGGTCCTCTCCCATGCTCATCCTGCAATTGACTCACACTCAGTATTGTCTCCTGCCAACTTGGCCTCTCTGATTTGAGTGGCATACTTCTGGATCTCTGGCAAGTGGTTGTGGATCTTGGCTGCCTCTCGCTGGCCCTTCACGATGAGAGGAAAAACCAGGCAGCGGGCGAGGACCGTACCTGGAAAACACAAACTAGGATTGGAATAAAATTAAAGCAGTTCTATAGGTAGAATGTTGAAGATTTTAGGTCCTGTCTTATTTCAGTGTTTTCCACACTAACTTATGCCCAAGGGGTCCAGAAGTAAGGTTAAGATATAATTTAGTTTGTTCAAGGCTCAGGTCTCTGATTGGGCATCACAAAAATCTGGCATTAACTTCTCTAAGCAGGTGATCAGGAATCCCACTTGTTTCCTTGAACAAAAAGAAGATAGAAGTATTTTTCCAGATCAATGGTTTTTACTTTTCTATGACTAAAACAAATCAACCTGTACTGGGTGAAGGAAAAGCTTGGCTATAGGACTGTTTAGGCTCTAGTCTTCACCTTGCTCAGCAAAAGATACCTTTGTAGAACTCTGAATACTATTCTAGAAATCCCCAGACTTGGAAGTACTCTGGTGGCCCACTGCTTTACTTTATTTTTACTTTTTGAGACAGAGCCTCAAGCTGTTGCCCTGGGTAGAATGCCATGGCATCCCAGCTCACAGCAACCTCCACCTTTTGGGCTCAAGTAATTCTCTTGCCTTAGCCTCCCAAGTAGCTGGGACTACAGGCCCACCACAATGCCTGGCTATTTTTTTTGGTTGTAGGTGTCACTGTTGTTTGGCAGGCCAGGGTTGGATTTGAACCCACCGGCTCTGTTGTATGTGGCCGGCATCTGCTACAGGCGCCAAGCTTAGCCCACTGCTTTAGCATTTCTTTTTTTTTTTTTTTTTTTTCAGTTTTTGGCCGGGGCTGGGTTTGAACCCCCACCTCTGGCATATGGGGCTGGCGCCTTACTCCTTTGAGCCACAGGCGCCACCCCAAGCTTTTCTTTTTCTTATACTTCATATTTCCCAATTATACCAACAAATATTTAGTTTGTATACACATGGGTCTGGGCTGAGAAGACTTGGGTGGAATATATAGGTTTAGATTTTATCAACATTATGATGGAGATCAAGATCAAGGTGGGAGGACCACTTAAGGCCAGGACTTAGAAAACAGCCTGAGCCAGGTATGATGGTCATGCCTATAATCTAGCACTTTGGGAGGCTGAGGCAGCCTCAGCTCTTGCTTGAGTTCAGGAATTTGAGACCAGTCTGAGCAAGAGTGAGACCCTGCCTCTACTAAAAATAGAAAAACAAACAAACAAAAAACTAGCTGAGTGTTGTGGTGGGAATCTGTAGTCCCAATTACTTGGGAGGCTGAGGCAAGAGATCACGTGAACCCCAGAGTTTGAGATTATTATGAGCTATGATGCCATGGCACTCTACCCAGAGTGACAGTGAGACTCTGTCTCAAAAAAAAAAAAAAAAGAAAGGAAGAAAGAAAGAAGCCAGTCTGAGCTATAGTGAGACAGTCATCTCTAACAAAACGAGAAAAAATCAGCCCAGCATGGTGATGTGCACCTGTAGTCCTGCTATTTGGGAGGTTGAAATAGGAAGATCCCTTGAGTCTGAAGCGAGGGATAGGTAGAGTATTGGGTAATAGAGATGGATGTTGTGGTCAGAAAGATTAGTGTCTAATGCAGAAAAGTCAAGTATGATAAGAAAAATGGATTTAGTAATAATGTCACTGGCAGTTACAATGAAGTGATAACTAGTAAAAGCCAGATTGCTGAGGGTCAAAGAGTAAATGGAAAGTAGTCATAATGAATGCAGAACATTCTTTTAAATAACAGGTATCAAAGAAAGAAGAAAGGATAGTAGGTAAAGGAGAATTAAGGATGAAGAAAAGAAATTTTCTCCCAAGTAACATGTGGGTATGCTTTAGCATGTTTATATGTTCAAGGAGTAAGACACTGAAGGCACAAAGAAGGTAAGGGATACTTCACGGAGCAAGGTATAGAAGAAATGGAACTCAAAGCAGAGTTTTGGCTTTTATAAGAGTAATGGGAGTGGCTTCCCAATTTGGGGGTTTAAGTGCCTAACCTGACCTTCTACTTTTCTAAACCATGGCAGCTTCATCACTGTTAATGACATCCCCTTGGCTGGACATGGGGGCTCACACCTGTAATCCTTGCACTCTGAGAGCCTGAAGCCGGTGGACAAATTCCAGGAAGTTCTGGATCAGTCCTACTGGAGTGTTATGACTCCAGTCCCAGTTTAGTAAAGCTCTGTCACTGGTCAATCCATTCAAAGACCACCACCTTTTAGGTTATATTCCTAAGTCCTCATTGACTCTACTGTTACCCAAGGTATATTTGCCCTTACATGCAGCAATGGCCCCCCACCAAGGTAGGCCCAGGTCAACATGCATAAATTCCAGGAAGTTCTGGATCAGTCCTACTGGAGTGTATGACCCCAGTCCCAGTTCAGTAAAGCTCTGTTCTGCAGCAGCTTGGACTACGTCTGCAGTCTCTCCAGAAGCCACCTCAGGTACTGCTGTGGGTGAGGGAGTTGCAGGAACAACAGGAGGAGCCTGAACCTGTGGGAAAGGAAGCCTTGTGTTATATTCAATGGGGAGACATTCAGAAAGTGAGGCCCCCTTATGGGTTCTGTACTGGGTTCTGTTCTCTTCACCTCTTGTTTTCCCAGGTTAACTACAGTGTCCACAGAATTCAAGTTTAACAAGGACATCATATATTTGTTCCTAGGCAGGAAGTCTCTTAGAGCAAGATTTCATGATTTCCCTTCATGTTGGGATCATTTCTTATGTCACTAGTTTCCTAAACTTCAGCCATTTGATTATCAATGTCATGAGTTTGCCAATATTGAAACTATTATAACTTTTCTTTAACCCTCCCCCCCAACCTACGTGGTCTCCTTCTAAAACAAAATATCCACAAATTTACGTATTTGATATTCAAGTTGCAATTTTTCTAATACACACAAACCCAGAATCGCATCTCACATAACTGACAGTGACTTGTCACCACTCTGGCAAACACAACCTTGAAGATAACATAAATTCTCCCATTGTGCTTTCAATCATTTCCCCACTTAAGTGAAAATTCATCCCAAGCAGATGCTAATAATTTGGAGAGTTATGTGGAGTGTGGCCAAAAACTATGCGCCGCAACCTACCCCCCCCTCCCCCCCCAAATAAACAGACACGAACCAAGAAGCTCCACTTCTGACGTTGCTCTTACCTTGGCTTCTGCAAATGATATGGCAGAGGTACTGAGGCAGCGGGGGCCAGGGGCTGCGAGGAGGACGTAGCACTGGCGACTGCGGCACGGACGGGCTGCGAATGGGAGCCTCGCGCTCAGCGGTTTTTGGGGCCATTGCGAGAGCGTTGCGACACTGTGGAACTGAGCAAGTAAAAGGGTGATGGAAGAAGTCCCAGCATGGGGACAACGGGCATTCTCTCCCCAAGAAGCAGGCAGCCCGGCTACCTCAGTTAAGTGCATGGCTGCTATCCCCGCAGAGGGCTGGCGCGCGAAGGCATGCCTAGTGCATGCAGAGTTCGAGCCTAGGTCCCCTGCAGACCTACATGGGTCCCATAGATGGTCGTAGCAGGGGAAAGGTCAGTTTCCTTGAACCCACAACTAAACAGGGTCGCTGAGCCCGCGGCACCGGGAACGTAACCCTCTCGCGTCCTCTCCGCGACCTAGGTCATGACACTCAGGTACCGGTGAGCAGGTAAGCGTCTGCTCTCAGCACAAGCTGTTCCTGAGCTCGGGTCACAAGGTCAGGGGAGCACCCCGGCACTCTGACGCCGGGGTATCCTTACCTGCCGCTGAGGCCGCAAGAGCCGCAGAAGTTCCCGGCGTCCGCACATCAGTCCCATCGCCATGTTGCCCGGAAGAGGATTTGCATTCGCGCGTGCGCACTCAGAACCGTAACCCCGTAGGAGGAGGCCCTTTTGGAAGTGGTTATGAAGCCAGAGTTGTCGCCGCCCTTCGGATTGTAAAGGACGCTGGAGCTTGGCGGCCATATTTGACGTGGGTAAGAAGACGCAGAGGACCACATTACCAAGACCGCGCCGAAGGTGTTTTCTGGGGATTGAAAGAGGTGGAGCGCCAAATTATCTGCTGTCGTTAGTACGGTGTGAACTGTACAACATCTCTAAAGCCGCGATTGTACTCTCGTTTGTTGAGTATAAAATAGCCTCAGGACAGTCTTGGTTGTGGTTGACTAGGGTTTTTCCCGCCTGATGATGTTCTTATTTTAGATAATATTGTAATTGCAGAGAGTCTGAGCCACCGCGCCCAGCCTGATGTTACTATTGTAATTGGGGGTGCCACAACCATGCTGATACATAAATCAGCAAACTTAATCAGTGTATTCTGAATGCTTCACCAACCAGCCATTGCCCATTTCTCTCCCTCTTGTTGGGCTTCTGTATTCCCTGAGACACAACAGTATTGAAATTAGGCCAATTCATTGCCTGTGGCTCAGTGGGTAGGGCGCGCAGCCCCATATACTGAGGGTGGCAGGTTCAAACGCAGCCCAGGCCAAACTGTAACAACAAAAAAAATAGCTGGGCATTGTTGGCGCCTGTGGTCCCAGCTGCTCGGGAGGCCGAGGCAAGAGAATTGCCTTGGCCCAGGAGTTGTAGGTTGCTGTGCACTGTGTAACACCATGGCATTCTACCGAGGGCGATAAAGTGAGACTCTGTCTCTACATAAAAACCCCAAACAAACAAAAGAAATTAGGCCAATTCATAACCTTACAATGGCCTGTAAGTGTTCACTCTAAATTAAAAGCTAGAAGTGGGCTCGGCGCCT